TGCCCCGCCCTGCCCTGGCCTGAGGGCTCCGACCCTCCCTCAAGACCCTGCCCCACCACTCAGCCTCTCCTCCCTGACTCTGGGGACCCCTTGGGTACCCCTTCCCGCCACCTCCTGACCCGTGTTCCCCCTGTCTCTCCCTGCCCTGTGTTTCAGCATGAGGTGTGCTGTCTAGAGCCTGCCTTCCTGGGAGGGCTGAGCTGGGCAACTGGAAGTGGCTCTGGGGGGCCCACTTGACACCCCACCTGGCTCCAGCCCGACAACAGCCTGAGAATTTCCCCCCTAACTTATTGGCACTTTGGGGTCCAGTCTGGGTGCCCCCAATGCTGCACCTTCTGACACAGCCTGAGAATGAAGGGCCTTGGCCCCCGGCCCTGCTCTGTACAGAATAAAGGCTGGTGTGGTCTGTAGCTCTTGGCTTTGGGAACCCTGTGGCGGGGTCAGGGTGAGGGGGGCAGAGGGTCTGCGTGGGTGCGTGCGTGCGTGTGTGCCCCCATCCGCCACAGGGCCTCCAGCTCCTCCGGGTCCTGGCCAGGTGCTGGGACAGGTCGCCTTCTGAGCGAGGCCTGTGTGACCCAGCCTGGCACGTGGGGCCCGGATGCACGTCCATGGGACCGCCCACAGACGGAGGTGCGCTGGGTGGGCTCTAGCAACCCTCCCCGCGGCCCGCTTCCCCATCTTTGAAAGAAGACTTGATGACTTTGAAGGCTTTGTTAGTTTTGACCTTTTGTGGTTCTCAATAAAACAGAACTTAAAAATTGTCTAAGTTTGCCCTGGCTGGTTTGGCTCAGTGGGTAGAGCATCGGCCTGTGGACTGAAGGGTCCCGGGTTCGATTCCAGTCAAGGGCACATGCCCGGCTGTGGGCTTGATCCCCAGTAGCGGGTGTGCAGGAGGCAGCCCATTAATGATTCTCTCTCATCATTGATGTTTCCATCTCGCTCCCTGTCCCTTCCTCTCTGAAATCAATAAAAAAATATTTTTTAAAAAATGGTTTAAGCAGCTGAAAACGTTCGTGCGCAGACTCTGACTCGAGAGTTCAGGCAGGGGCCTGGGGCTCCACTTCCCAGGAGCCCCCAAGGGTTCCGGAGCTGCTGTTCCGAAAGCCACGCTTTGAGCAGCAGGGTGGGTGCCTGCAATTGGCTCCTGCGTGGGCACGTGACCCAGCCCGGGCCAATGAGGACCAGCCTGGGACTTGAGCAGGAAGTGCTGGGAAGAACCTCTTTGTTCCTGGCAGTGAAGCCAGAGGGATGTCTGTCGCCCTGGAGCCCCCACCTGGGGAGCCCCCACCTGGAGGACCCCCACCTGGGGAGCCCGCTGAGAAGCCAACAGGGAGGGGAGTGGCCCTGAGCGGGACCTGGGTCCGTCACACCCGGAGCGAGATGGCCCCTCAGACTCCCAGTTACATGGCCAGTAAGCGGCCAGTTTCTCCCACTGGCGTGGCCGGGGTTTCTGTGGCCTCCAAGCGAAGTCACCCTGAGTGATGGAGTTGGCGTCCTCTGTGGGCTCCAAAGATCAGAGTAGCCCTTCTCTGTATTGGGCTCCTGCTCACCTTCATGCTCCTCCCTGAACCCTCGGCCCTCGCCCGCTGCTGGTCACTGTGGGCGCCTCCCAGTCACGGGCGAGGAAACAGGCTCAGAGAGAAGTGACTGGCAGGGTCGGCTGCCCCAAGGGGAAGCCCTCACAGGCCCGATTGTAGACGTGAGGGGGGCGGGCGGGCGAGGGAGGGCTGGACTGGCTGGACATCGGCAGGTGGAGCGAACCATTTACTTGGGGGGATAGGAATGGGCTGGGCCGAGGGACAGCATCGGTTTGCCAACAAGGTATGTTGGTGCAGCCACCTTGGAGAACAACGGGGAGCGTCAGTAAGGCTGAAGATGGCGGGTCCCTTTCCCAGCACGCCCCTGGGTAGCAGCCTGACTGGCGCATGGGCGAAGGGGCGGGCGCGAGGCTCAGGGCAGCACTGCCATGGCTGGAAACAGTCGACTGGTCAGCAGCAGAATGGACACGCACCGGGGGGACTCACCAGCGGATAAACATGAACAAGACCAGCTCCTCGAATAACGATCACCGACAATGTGGGGTGAGGAAAGGAGAACAAGTTATTTATATAAAGCTAAAAAAAATGAAAAAGCTATACATTGTCTAGGGACACACATTACAGCGGGATATCAGGATAGGCAAAGGAGGGAGGAACCCCAAATTCAGGTGAGGTGACCCTGGGGTAAGCTTGGCGGGGGGTGTTGGGAAGGAGTTTAGAAAGCCCTCAATGAACATGTAATGTCCTTTTCAAATTTTTATATATTGATCCTTAGAGAGAGAGAGAGAGAGACATCGATTTGTTTTTTGTTTTTTTTAAAAATATATTTTGTTGATTTTTTACAGAGAGGAAGGGAGAGGGATAGAGAGTTAGAAACATCCATGAGAGAAACATCGATCAGCTGCCTCCTGCATACCTCCTACTGGGGATGTGCCTGCAACCAAGGTACATGCTCTTGACCGGAATCGAACCCGGGACCCTTCAGTCCGCAGGCGGACGCTCCATCCACTGAGCCAAACCGGGTAGGGCAGAAACATCAATTTGTTGTTCCACTTAGTTATGCATCATTGGTTGATTTATTTTATATTGTTTTTGACTGATTCCTGTATGTGCCCTGACGGGGATCGAACTCACAACCTTGGCGTAGTGGGGACGATGTTCTAACTAACTGAGTTGCCTGGTCAGGGCCATGAGGCCTTATTCTTAAGCTGTCCTGGGTACACAGTGTTTGGTATATGACTCTCTTAAGTGTCATAGGAGACTGAGTCACTGGTCTTTCTGGGCCAAGCGGTGTTGCAAATGGCACTCCAGGACTTAGGAGCAGCCTGTGCCAGGGCGCGGAGGTGGGAACGGTGAGACAGGCGTGGCCTCGCCAGAGTGGCAGGGCCAATGGAGGGAGGGGGTAGCATGAGCTGTTGGGCTGTGAGGACAGGTGGCCTGGCTCCCAGGCGTGGGGGGACCCTGGCCATGCGCTGGTGGCTGGGAGGGGTGTTCTGCGAGGCACTAAGCAGCTTTCCATGTGCGTTTCTTGGATGTGGCTTTGCTTCCACCAGCCAGTGAGCCACGGCAGCGGGTCTGCGGGGCTGGGCTGGGATTTCAGCACTTTGGGGTGATCTGGAGAGAGTCCCTGCAGGTGGAAGCGGGGAGGGGGGGGGGCAGAAAGAGCTTTTTTCTTGAGGACTGTGGTGGGAGGAAGGTAGATTCAGTGGCAAGAGAGAGAGTTTTCCCGAATTGCTGGGGGGGACGTCTGGGTACTTCTAGGGGCCACGGGGAGGGAACCGCCCTGGTGACGCGGGTGCTCTCAGCAGCCCTGAGGCGGGTCCCAGAGCAAGTCGCTTACTGAGAGGGGGTCCCAGAGTGGGGGTGCGTGTAGAGCCA